TTTGCTTTTTTTGGGTTTCCTTTGTTTTCCACACCAGGCAAAAAACATGTTTTTTTTGCTGGGGTCCTAATTCCAGCCAAGGTACAGGTGAATTGTCAATGTGCTTTTAGGTTGCAAGAGCCAAATCATCCCCTCAGTGATGGAATGCGAAGATGACCTGAAGCGGGCAAGGGAATTGTTCAAGGTGATGGAGTAGGCATGGGAACGCCACATTTGAGGTATCGCAGAGAAGGTAGTTGGCTTTGCACATGAATGGCCAATCAATTACCTTCTTACCAGAGCAAGGGTGGAGTTCTTCCTTGACTCGTTCTGCCAAACAACTCCTAGATCTCTGCAAGAAATCAGATTACAGCCATGCAAGAGGTGTGCAAGAAATCAGGGTACAACCAAGAGCAAGGGTTATTTTCCAGTTTTGCGCCAGAGCGCGGGGCATCAATTGACGATGCCAGGCGGTGCTGGACTGCGCCGGAGGGCCCCAGCTCAGTGCGGCGCTGGCGCAGCTGAGGCAAGCCCGAGGGCTTTCGGCTGCTTTGGTGGCCCGTTTGGTGGTTTCTCAATAGGCTTCCTGGCGGGGAACTGCCCTGCTCGTGCTCTAAGCCAAAGCTTACCCCAATCAGCATTCACCCAGCGCTACAAAATGGAATTCCAAACCGTCCCAAAAAACCTTCGCAGAATAGATTTCTGCTGGGCGATTAGAAATTCAGAATTGTGTTGCTTGTTTTAGACGTCACTTTTTGGAACAAGGTTAGCCGAGTTGCCTGTTCGTGATGATTGTTTGATACACAGGTACCGGCCAGGGCCGAATGTGGCCAATTTTCATCCAACATGGCAATTCTGCGCATTGCGAATAAGTCGGCTTTCGGAGGATTTGTGGTGATGTGTTTGTCACTTGGCCAGGGCGCAGGGGAATTTCTTGCTTGAATTGCTAATTGATTTGAGCCGCAACCTTCAACTCTTTGGGCAAATCTATGAATAATCAAACCACTAATCCAGCCCATGGTCGGGTGTTTTACCTTGGGCAAATCTATAGTTCAAACAACTAACTAACTGCCAGGCTCTTTGACCCAGTTCAGACTCAACCATTTGGTCCCGATACGCAATACCCAAGACTTGGAGGTATAGGGGTGCAGCGGCCTGCATCGGCGTGGCGGGCGGTGGCGAGCTGGAGGCGCAAGGGAGCAGCAAGGTTGGCTCCAGCAGGGTCCACCTCCTCTCAAACCAAATCTCGGTGCCTCCCGGCCATCCGGTTCCTTAGCTCTTTAGCTTTGCGTTGTTTAGTTTTTTTTTTTTTAAGCCCACTAAAAGTTAAAAACTTTGAGCGGGGGGTCTGAGGACAGCTCAGCAATGGAACCAAGATCAGGATGTTGAAGCACTTGGTCTTTAAATACGTAGTACAGCTTACGGCGTTTCATATGAGTGTACAGAAGTCGGCCCGATCTGATTTTCTGATGCACAGAATCTGCGAGATGCTTTCAGCATGGGATATGCTGCTTGGTGCAACGCATTTTTGCGGCGTGGGTTTCCCAAGCAGCCGAAACTAGATACGGGTAATGTGAAGACAGGACCAGGAAAAACCAACTAGCATGCGGAAGCGAGACCATCTTACTGTATTGATTTCAAGGGTAAGCTATACCCTTTCACCAACCTATGGAAAAACAAAATCCTTCATGGAACTGCCTGCTAGCAGGGCCTGCTACGTATCCCCAGTCCCTACTATTCGCCCAAATCCTAGGGCCAAGGATGGTGCAAAAGCCTTTGGAGGGCAAAGAGCTCCATTGGCTCAATGGAAAGAAGGTGCATCCAGTTTGCCATAAACAGTCTCAGGACCTTTCAGAGACTTGTTTGCAGAATATCTTCTCTCTTTAACCTTCACAAACACGCATGTTTTTCAGTCATCTACCGAACCCAACCCAACCCAGCCCCATCACATCCCCCATCCAGTCACCCAGTCACTTTTTCACACTGGTCATCTGCTGCTTTCCCCGTTTTCTCCGTGGGAGGCCTCGGTGTATCCCTTCGTGCTGCGTGGGGTGCGGCTCCTGGGCGTCGACTCCACGCTGCCATGGGACGTCGAGGGCCTGGGCGAAGACGTCGAGGAGTGGCAGCGCAACAGGCGGGAGCCTCTGGGCTTCCCCCAGGAATTTTCCGGAAGTCGGGCTTGTTCGGCCGACCCCCTGTTTTCTTTTTTGGATACTTTTCCGGACTTCAGACTTTGTTTGGCAGATTGTTTTGGTGGAAATCGATTTGAGGTAAGTTGAGATCACAAGCGTGCCCTGCTGGGTTCTGAGTTTTTGTTTCGCTGTGGCCATCAAAGCAGCCTTTTTTTCCCATGAAGCACTGCTGGGGCCTGCAAAATTCCTGTGCCAGCAGCTGCAAAAAGCCGGAGCACCAACACCCTGCCCAATGTGTGCGTGTGTATGTGGTTGGGTGGGTGGGTGATTGGGTGATGGAGTGATTGGGTGATTGGGCAGGCAGGTGCTGGGCTGGGTGGGGACGCTGCGTGCCATGTTCATTTGTTCGGGAGGTCGGCCAAGAAAAGGCATGTTCGAACCCTCACTCATTGATTGGAGCACGTCAAAGGCTGACCATGGCCATCGTTGAAGCAGCAAACGGTAGGATGAATCCCATTTTAAGATTTGAGCTGTTTGGGACGGATTAGCTTCAAGGAACAATGTTTGCAAGTCTGCAATGCTTACCGCTGCAAATCAGCCATCAGTCAAGCGCGACGTGGCTGAGGAAATGTCAACGAGAATGGTGCAACCTTCAATAGGACATATTCCATTGCCAAGGGGGGAGTGGACTCGAGGTCTGTTTTTGTTCAAGGGTTGCTTTACTCTTTCCGCTTGGCTTTGGCGCTCTTTGCCTCTTGCTTTGTTCCTGTTTTCAGTGTGCTGGGCTGAAGGATGCCGCCATACCAGGGGTTGGGAAGTTGTTGTGGTCGCTTCGCCACTTCTCAGCGGCTATCCCTTAGGCAAACGCGGCTGGAGGTGTGGCGGCGGCTGCAGGAGGAGGGCGCCTGCTTTCAGTCGACGATGAGAATCTGTCCCAAACGCTTCCTTTGCAAACTACCTGAACTTGTTGCGGCGGGTGAACCAACCCATGTCCCTGGTAGATGGTGTTGTTTTGAGAAATGAATGCCAAATTGAAGTAAACCACCTGCAAAGCGCCACCCTCAATTTTGAGAGAAGGCCACAGAATCGATTTCCTTGTCATGCTCGTGGCCGTGCCTGCTGTTTGCAAACTCAGTTGCCACCGAGAAGTTTGTGTGAGACACCAAGCTGAGAACCACACTTGTCCCTATTGATCCAAACAACCCAATGACTCGCCTGACAAATGCTTCGGAAAAGGGATCTCAGTGTGTGTGTGTGTGATTATTTCGTTGGCCGAAGCGATCCTGGAGTGCGGCCTTGAATCCTGCAGCGGCTGACCTCTTCACAATATAAGCAAGCCCTGGGGCCTCGCTGGGAGCCCTCCTGGCCAGCCATTGGCAACTGGATTGCAAGAACAACATGTAGATGTATTTGCTTTATGCGTGCGCTCCATGTCTATGAGTATGTACATATTGTAGATATTATGGGATTATGTAGTGAGTCGTGTTCATTATTTATGTGTCTTTGCACTCGGTTTGCTAGCTACACTCGCAGCGGGCCGTTGCGACGTCTTTGAAAGTGGCACAATGTCTTTTGTTTGCTTCTTATTCGCCCAGCCTACCTGCTGTGTTGCCCGCAGCCTGTGTGACTCTGGATCTTGTTGCTGCCTGAGTTTGAGCCATTCGGACGTAGCAGGCCCCATATGTGGAAGTCGACAAGCCACCTTTGGACCTACCAACATGTAAATCTGGACTCGCGAAGGGAAACCTGGACTCGATCCTCGGCCTCAGATCGCGGAAATCTTGTCGGGTGCGTTTGGGATCCTTGGAAGATGCTTTTCCGCAGGGATCAACTGTCATGAGGCATCCCATGTGCAAGGCACAGCCTCCAACGCTTCTTCTGGCCCCCCTAGAGTCAGCGTGCCAGGACATGCCTTTGGCAGCCCTGCGGCAGATGCACGAAGCCACCATCGCCATGGAGGACAGTGAGGGACCCCCCTACTTCCCCCCCTGCCTTTTGAGGCCAAATTGAGGCCAAATGTGCGTGGATGTTTCCTGACTGACTGGCAGGAAGCAAACAGCTGCTCAAACACGTCCAAGAAAACATCAACAAGGTGAACCGCTTTGATTTCCCAAGTGAACGACCTTGACTGCCACTCCTTTCGGCAAGCGATGCACGTGTCAAGACAAAAGCGCCAGGAGTTGCCCAGCTGGGCTGAACGGATCTTGGCGGGCCAAGTGAGGGGCCGCGTGGTGGTGCGCATGTGAAGGGTGGGCGCTCACAGCTGGGCTGAAGTTGGGTTTAGTCACTTTAGTCGTCCCGTTTACTTACCCACATAAAGGGCATTGTGCCATGTACTTTCACCCTGGTGTAGCAGAGTTTGCGTGGGCTGTGGCTGGCGCAGACGACTTCCACTCGCTGCAAGCGAAAGGCTGCCTGGTCATTCCCCTGTGCAGGAAAATAGTTGAATTTTAAGTCACTAGCTACTGCACTCTGACAGTGCTGTAGCTGCAGAGCTCGATTTAGAGCATGGAAAAAGGCGGCGCACAAACATTCTGCTTGCCTGTGCTTGGCTCAACTTCTTCTGCCCGCTGCCTTCCAAGCAAAGAAGTCGTGCTCACACTGCACATGTGCATTTTTGCATGTGTACGGTTTGCAGTCAACGCAGATTATGCTGCCTTCACAGTGCGGGGTTAGATGGCGTCAGCAGCGATACAGCCCCCGAGCAGTTTCCTTATGGGGCGTTCCCTTCGATGTAGGTCTGTGAGGTATTATTACTCGCCCAAGCCCAACGGGCGAATGAAGTTGCATGTAGCCCTCAATTGCTCATGTTTCATGTCAGTCTCCATTGTAAGACCTGGGCACACCCTCGGGGGTTCGCCTTGAATCAGCGCGAGTTTTAACTCCAAGGTACGGCAACGGCAAGGGCACTTTCCAGTGGCCGGTAAAGGTGCGGCAGTCCTTCCCTGGGCATCTCGTCCGGAGCATGTTGGCCGGAGGGCTGGATGCTGGGCCATTTCCAGGGTGGGGCGACGTCAGCTTCAAGGAGGGAAGGGTTGGGAAGGGCTGGTTGAACAACCAGACCCTTCCCCTTCACAAGATCAACTCAAAGGAGGCTGGCAAAAACAAGTTTGCTTGAAAACAAGTTGGCGTTGCGGAGCTAAGCCGGGCTAGCCTACCACTATCGGACCTTTGATGCCAGTGAAAGAGATTGGCACCTTTGCCCAGGGGTACCTGGAGGTAAACCTCCCACAGGCGTGAGGTGACAAAGCCATAGCTTCTACTGGGATTGTCCCGTGACACGTTGGCATAGGTTGAACCTGCGCACTGATGGTTCTGACTACTAGTACTCTTTCTGTTTTGTTTAGTTCGGGTGGGAGTTAGCCAGAATTCGGGCTCGGCTTACCCTCCTGTGTGTTGGACAAAGGCAACGCTAGCGTAACATTCTCCACGTTTTCTGCTGCATCACTGGCCAGATCACTTGGGAAACTAGTAGACCTCCCTTGGCATGATGTGTCAGATTTCTTCGGCAGATTGTAGACGTGACAGCCTTTGCTGTGTTTGTTCGGCCTCTTTTGAATCGGGTGCCGTGCGATGCAATTGTCTTAAGATAAATTACAAGAACAGCATGGCGGGCAAGTGGATTTCCAGCTGACTTGCTGACTGGAGTGCGCTGCTGCGAGATGTTTGTGATTTCAGCTTGAAGCCTGTTGGGACAGGACATGTCTGCCAACAGAATATTGTCTGGTAGACAACATCTCGAGGATTCTGGAGAGAGAGAAAGAGAGGGAGAGAGCGAGAGACAAGTCCGCTAATTAATCGAAAATGAAAGACCAGGCCAGTTTTGATTCTTGGTTTTGAACAGTTTTGGGCCCGGGGATAGCCAGAATGGCCTACAGGGGCAAAACCTGTTGACTTCTATGTCTTAAGGGATGGTTCCAGGCCCCAGCCTAGCAGATCCAAGCCACTTGGCACCTGTACCTGACCAAAGCGCCCACTCTAGCCCGGGTAAATAACCCATGACGTTAGAGGTGTCGTAGCTCTTCAAGGGAGCTGCAAGGGGAGCTGCAAGGGAAACCCTTCCATTTCCAAGTTCTTGTTTGGTGGGTAGTATCCTTCAGACATGTTGCCTCAGCCCAGGTCTCGCACCACTGTCCAAACCTCAGCTGGGCCTTTGCCTTTGCCTTTGCCGTGAGGTTCCGGGAGTTTTCTCTCCCTAAAGGGCAGGAAAACGCACTCGGGTCCAAAACCGGCCACCTGCTTTTCCCATATTTGGCCTTGTCCCCGGTCACGCTTTCAATGCGCACAGCACACACGTTTATTTCTGGAGGGTCCCCTTTCGGCTGCAATCGGACACCGACGTCGAGACTGCCGGAACGCGAACGCGGGAAGCCCGCGGGAAGCCGCGGGAAGCCGAGGCGCAGGCGCCCTACACCGCGGAGGTGGAGCAGCGCCTTGGCCATCGGCTCGTGGCTTCTCAGCCCTTGGGCTTCGGACCAAGGCAACGTGAGCTTTTGGGCTGATGTGGCTGTAGGTCAACACCAATGGGATCCCATTTTGGGGTAGGTGAATTCACCCTGAAATGCTTAGCAACGCTTGGGTAGATGTAATCAGTCTGGATCACTTGTTTGGTGAAACTCCCATCTATGCACCTTCTTCATCAATCCGGGCTCGACATTATGTTTGTGGGTTGACACTTGAAGCGACCGACTAGGATCCATGGTATGGGGCGCATCGGGCCTGGGAAGTCTTCGGTTTTGGTCCTCGTAAAGCAGCAATGGCAACGACCCATGTTGGCATGTCGGAAACGGAGATTGTTCAAAATTGTTGAATTCATGTTGGGAAAAAGTTATGGGGAAGACTCAGGAGTCGGTAATTGTTAGATCCGGTCATGACGAAGGCGCATTTGACATGTCACTGATCTTGACGCATTTCCGTTTGAGGTCGCAGTCAAGCCAGTTTGCCTTGTCCACGTGGTGAAAATGGTTACGTGCTTTGGGCTCAGTGCCAAATGCTGCTGATTCTGATTTGGCGAACAAGCTACAGCAAGGGAGGCAGTCCAACGTGCATATTGGCGGGACTTCCATTCTTCGACCTCCTTCAAGTTTACCCTGCAGCATGAGTCGTAGCCATGCCGTGTACACGGGAAAACGTGAATAGCTTTGGCAGTATTGTGTCTAACTAGAGGCCCTCCCATCCAACAAAATGGACAAACTGGGTGGCTTCCTTTTGGTTTCCCGTGTCCGCCGACCCAAAACAGGGACACCAACTCCAACAACAGCGCGCCCATTTCCTCCCCGGGTGCAGTACAACTGAAAGATGCGAAGGAAGTTCGAGATCCATCGACCAGTCCACCCATTTCAGCTCTCCTGGCGCGTGTGTCCGGGCCACAGCGCAAGCACTGAGGGGCGAACAGGGGGCTTTGCCAAGCTGGACCCTGTTTTGGGGCAATTTGGTCATGGCCCCAAACAATCTAGGGGTTGACTCCCCATTCTTTTCAACCATCGTTCTTTTCACAAACCCACATTTCCCCTGAGTTTCTGAAGGGTTTTCTGGAAAGAAGGATCCCGGCACTGAATAGGTAAGGTACCCCTAGAAACAAGCAAAACTTTAACCTGCTCCTTCGAGCGCTTTGACCATTGTGCTTTGCTTTTCGTTGGGTTACTCCCCTGTCAATCCTTCAAAGTTGGGCGAAGCTGTGCGTCGCCCTTGCGCGGACGCCAGCTTTCGTTTCCCTCTCCTGGCTCAAGTTCTTCTGCTTCTTCTTCGTCGTGTATCTCCTTGAGCAAGTACTTCAAATCCGGGAGTGCTTGCTTTGTATTGCCTCCAGTTTGATTTTGATTTGTCTGAGGTCCGAGGGTCGTACTCATGTTTCCTCCGGTTCTTTTTGTGTTGCTCGGCAAGTCTCAAAGTATGTTGGTGTTTCTCATTGGGTGTACCTTGCGAAGAATGATGTCTCAAAAGTACATTGGCGTCTCATTCTTCTCATTGGGTTGTGCTTTTAAATGTGCCTTGTGCTCCCTGAGGCTTGGACAAGCGAGATGCCACAGGCAGCTTTGGCATAGGCACGAGCTTCGCGCTTGGGCGTGACGGGTAACGGGGAGGTGAGCCATGCGCAGTCGCTTTTGTAGGTAGGCTTGCCAGTTGGAACGACAAGTGGGGGAATGACATGTTTCAACATCCCCTGGTCGAAGTTTGGCAGGACGGGCTCGGGTATGTTGGAATGTGGCCCCTCTTTTGTTTGGCACTGCCTACCTTCCCGAATCAGACAGGGGGCGTTCCTGCGCGTCCGCGTTTCGCACCGGTTTGGCGCAGGCAACTTCCGGAACCCGGCGGGACTGGTGGTGTCATGCCCCTCGGCACGCGCCAGGTGCCGTTCCAAATGGCTTGAGCTACAGGGCCGCAGGGTCTCGCCCACTGGGCTGGTTAAGATGGCGGCGAGCTAGAGGAAACTCGAAGCGATAGCAGTTACGCACTGGGAACAGGTATTACGCATGTGCTGGACATTCGGGAACTATCAGGAGCAACTAGCAGAGGCTTTCAACAACAATCATGGGAACATGACGGAAATAAACGGTGGCCTGGAAGAATCATGGAAATAAACGGTGGCCTGGAGGGGTTTGGAAGACTATACCAATTCTTTTGGAGACTTCCCCTTCAAATCCAGGAGTCGTGGCCAAAGGAATGTGCTCCATATGTCCAAGGCCCCTCCAAGAGCGCCTTCCAGAAGCTGCAAAAGCACCAGGCAGTCCGAGTGGGATGGGAAGGGCACCGGGGATGCAGGAGGCGGGTAGGGAGCAGGAGCCCGGCGTTTTGTGGGTTCGGCACTAAAGCTGTATTCGAAAGACGCAAGTGGTGCAAGTGGCGGGTTGAACAAGAAGTCTGGGGCAAAGTCTTGTCTTCAAGCGGCTTTCCTTTGGGGCGCGCCATTCGGTTTCATATTGACTTGCAGGACGAATTAGTAGCTCTTACGTGTTGAAACTGAGTTGTATCCCTGCATATCCCTACCTTGTGCTAGTACAAAAATATCGGCTTGGACAGCCACGCCTTAGGCTAGGTTTAGCTTCTGCAAACTTGTGTGTGTGTGTCTGCGTGTCTGTGTGTGTGTGTTTTGTGTGTGTTTGGGTTTGTCTCCTTATTTCTTTATTTCTTCCTTTCTTTCTTTCTTTATTTCTGTCTTTTCTTTATTTCCTTTCTTTTGTTCTTTATTTTTTTCTTCCTTTGTTTCTTTCTGTTTTCTTTATTTCTTTCTTTTATTTCTTTCTTTCTTTTTTTCTTTCTTTTCTTTTATTTCTTTCTTTCTTTCTTTCTTCCTTTCTTTCTTTTCTTTATTTCCTTTCTTTTGTTCTTTCTGTTTTTCTTCCTTTCTTTTTTTCTCTGTGTTAATTCTTTCTTTATTTATTTTATTTCTTTCTTTTATTTCTTTCTTTATTTCTTTCTTTGCTTTTATTTCTTTCTTTCTTTCTTTCTTTCTTTCTTTATTTCTTTCTTTCTTTCTTTCTTTCTTTCTTTCTTTCTTTCTTTCTTTCTTTCTTTCTTTCTTTCTCTCTTTCTCTCTTTCTCTCTTTCTGTCTCTCTTTCAGTTTTTGTTTTTTCTTCTATTTTCTTCTGTTTGTCTTTCTTTGTTCTTTGTTCGCTTTTGTTTGTGATAGTGGTTGTTTGTGTTTGTGTCTGTGGTTGCGCGAGTGTCTGTGGTTGCGCAGGGGGGACACCCATCGCTTTGTGACAGGCAAAGCACGCCATGGAGGCAGCCGCGGACCCAGCAGCAGGCCAGCAATAGGCCAGAAATCAAGAAGACAATCCAACCCAACACAGCCTCAAGGGCACATTTGGGCCACTTGACAAATCGTCTCTAAGAGCTGATGTAGAGGACCTTTTGCAAGGCAGCAGGTGGTTTGTGGGATGCATCCTGAATGACAATCCAATCCAAACAATATTTTAGCTGGTAATCCTGGTTGGGACGGGGAGTTTTGAATGTCATCTTGGAATCGTTGTTTTGAGGTTGGGATTCGATCATAATAAGGGCCATTTAATTTGGGTAAGTTTGGAGGATGTCACTGTGAACCAAGTCCGTTTCTTCCTTCGCAGGCTGTTTGATCCCATCAGCACGTTACTCAGTCTCTTTCAGTCTGTTCGCGTCCATGTTAGCCTCCGGGGTGGGGGTAGTCTTCATTCTGGGGCGAGCGCAGATGAGCTTGCCCTTCCACCAACATGCAACCCACAATCAACAGAACATATGTTCAGAACCCCCAGTCGGTTTCCCATGCTTGTGGCTGGGAGGGCATCTAAGAAAATATAAACAATTTAATGAATTGTAGTAAGCTTGCTAGTGGCATCTTCCTATCACCGCCGCAGCTTTTGCAGTAGATCCCTGCAGGGTTTCATAGCCTGGAGAGCCAAATGCCTAATCGCAATGGAGCTGCCAGGGATGCCAACTACATACGCAACAAGTAGAGGACCAAGTGAAAACCCTGCAACTGGCTCTTTGTGGGCTGGATGTGGTTGGTTCACCCAACTTAGGCAACTCACCTGGCTGTGGGTCAAAACCAATGGTACCACTTTTGGGGGTAGGTGCACCACCCATTTTAGTCTGTTTTTGTTGGGAGTGGGATGTTCACTGGGGGTACGTGATTTTGACCCGTAGCCACCTTTGATGTGGGTGGTTGTTTCTGTTAAAGAGCTCCTTTAATGACCGGCCAGCATGAAACGAGGGAGCCTTGTCGCCTTGGTTTGGCACCGGTGCCTTTGTCTGGCAGCACAGTCCTCTCAATTGAAACCAAGCGATTTTCGCATTGCATGCTGAGGTCGCAAATCCGAACATTTCAGCAAATTGTGCATTGCCTTAAGCTCATCGCCCTTCATCCTGGCCGAGGGTAAACATATATAATATATTCAAGACGCTCTTGCCGAAACATCGTCCTTGGTTTTATGGCCTGGGACGTGCAACATCAAACTTTAATCCTGCCAGATGCTGGTGTTTTCCTTTTTTTTACCATGGCCCCACCAGGATTCCCAAGTTTTTAAACGGAATACAGGGTTTCCTGATTATAGAACAACTCAGCTTTGCTTCCGCTTTGCTGCCGCGCCATGCGGCATGTGCCGCGGCGGCCGGGCTGGCGGCGCTTGCGTTTGCGCAGGCAAGGCAGGTAGGGCTTGTTTTGGGGGGCCGCCACTGCGAGGCCAGCCCCTTGTTGAAACATGTTTACACACATTGTTTCGACAACCTCCATTTTGTTTCGGTCAAGGGGCTCGTTTTTTCTTGCACAAATGTTGGCCCAGCCTGGTAGCCACCCACACGAGGCTGTCCACACGAGGCGTTTCCAAGGCATCCGCATCCCCAGCAAACTTGGGCCTAAGAATTTGATAAGGGTTGTGGACAAGTTCCTGGAAACTTGTGGTTGTTAACCGGTCGGGCTTTTGAGATGTCTGGCAGCAGCCTTCACAAATAGGATAGGCATCATCTTCGCAAGGACGGTTTTGCGTGGCTTGCTAAGAATGAGGGTCGTGAAGCATGTTTTCAACTATGCATAAGAGCCTGTGCCTGTTTTCGACTCAAAGTTGCTGGCAGCTTGTTAGAGCTGAGTCCCGGCCACCCTCCCATAAAAGGCTTGGGGACCTTGGATTCAGGGACCTTTCGAAATTGAGCCACAGATAACCCCCTAATACGATAATTTCCTGAGAGCCACCAAGGGTCCATATACGGACATACTGTGGACGAAATCCTGCACCACCTATAAAACCCTGGACTGATGAGTCCTCCGAAAAAAGAAAACCCTATGGCTTGAAAGTGGTGCAGCACTTCGTCCATCCAGTATTTTTGCATCGGACCCCTTGGGGTCACCGATTCGGGGTCTTGCGAGCAGTCTGGTGCAGGCAAGGCCATTTGCTGAAGCGGAAGCTGCGGGAGGCGGGCCCCGTGCTTGGGTGCGGCAGATTTGGGTTTGTGGGCCTTGAATTGGGAACATAAGAGGATCAAACTAAAGCTGGGGAAATGACCGTCTTCCTGCCCTGCCATTTCCAACAGGAGGGGTATTGGTTGAGCAACAATTGGGTCCAATGCCCATGACTGCTAGCTCCTGGTCCTTGGTTGCTTTAGCAAAAGGCACGCACGTTTTCATTGTTTGAGGGGTTGTTCGGCATCTGGTCTCATGAGGCCCCTGTCAGGGTAGCCTCCTGTGCTGGGCATGGGCAAATGCTTTCGGCTCTGCTCAGATGGAAGGCGCTTCGAACAAACATCCTAAAGCATGCTACGGCTGATTGTGTGCGTACAGAAATGCAACCATGGCCATTTGGCGCCTTTGGTGACTGTTTGCAATAGTCATGAAAACACGTTAGGGTTTCATACCAAGGCTTTATAGAAGGTTGCACACATTCAGCTTTTGGGGCATGGTGAAGTTCCTCATTGACACGGTGGGAACCCAGGATTGGCCCGCCTCTGATTGATTTGTGTTGCACTTTATTTGAAGCAATTGGGTTTCTGTGGGAGAAGCGTCCCCAAAACATCTGCGAGCCGGGGTTGACATTGGAAGCAACCCTCAACGGCTGGACCTGTTGACTGTCAGGCTCCAAGGCGCACACAGTCGCTCGAGCTGCTTGGGGATTTGGCGCAGGCAGATCAGAGTGTGAAGGGTGACGCAATCTGACTTGGCCTAGGCTGCCTAACCAACTGGTGGCTGGTTTGATTTGGCAGAACTGTTGGACTGGCCCAAGGGACTATACCAGGTTTGACAGGCGCAAGGGACCGGACTGGGCCTCTTTTCAACTGACCTTGTGCCTCTTGTCCAGTGACTTTGTCGCATTGTAAACTGGGTCGGTGTTTGAGTGGTGGGAATATCCCAGTGCACCCTCACATCACATCAGTCTTCGCCAAGAGGCCAGGAAAGAAGCCGGGAAGCTGTTTCGGACATGCTCGGAACTAAACGGAGAGCCTGGCAAAGCTTCCGTTTGCTTAAGAATATGTTTTATTTCCCCTGTTGGTTTTAAAGGGAATCTATCACTATTGGATAGATTTTTACTTTTTCCAGGCGACTTAAACAAATGGAGGAAAATCAGTGACCGTTTGGTTTGGTGCTGCAGGTCTGGGATGAACCCGAAACAAATCATGTGCATGCCAGAGCACTCAGGCGACTTAAACAAATGGAGGAAAATCAGTGACCGTTTGGTTTGGTGCTGCGGATCGGGGATGAACCCGAAACAAATCATGTGCATGCCAGAGCACTCAGGGCTCGATGTGAAGGCTTACGAAATGGTTGATACTGCCAGCACTTCAGCCATCCCTTGCCACATCGACGCGGAACTATGGCGACAGACCACAGCCAGACAACGCAACAAGAGTCAGACTCAACGCCATTTTTAGGGCCATGGACCGCATGCTGCGCTCCTTCTTTCTCGGCGGCGGATTCTGTGCGTGGTGCAAGCCAGAAACACCAAACTCTGTGGCTATGGACATTTTGCAGCTGAAGTCCTATCAAGATGCACCTCGGCAGTCTTCTTCGCCGGAGACCCTAAAAGTAGTCGGAGCCACACTGCAGGAGGGTGTTTCATGATCTTGATTTTACTTCTCATCCTAGTCACAGTAAATCGGCCTGGAGGGCTTCCTATTGTCGGTGGAAGTTGGGAGGTTCTTTCACCAAGCGCTCGAGTCCACTGAACGTTGGCCATGACACACCTGCCAAGGAGTGGGACCGAACGCAGCGGGCCTTAGAGGCAACGGGCCGGGCAGCGGATCTGAGACCGGTTTGCCGGTCGCGTTGTTCCTGTGCTAGGTAGCTATGTGTGTGTGTGTGTGTCAAAGCGAGGTGGGCCCTTCCTATCTTCTTATGGTTGTTGATCCTCCCAAAGCAGCCACCCTCAACCCCACTAGGGCCTAGCACCTAGGGCACATATATCGAAGCCTTTGTGGGCATGTGCCAGGCTTTCCCCATCGGCACCTCTTGGCTGTCACTTTCGGCCCGGCTTTGATCCATATTGCTATACATTGAAATGGGGAACCGCCTCGCAAGTGGTTGGTGAACATGGATCCTCACCAAAGGGCTTCTTATTCAGACGAACCATATTGGGGACAAGACTCGAGAATATCGACCAGCCCCTGTCCACCAAATTGATGTCCAAGGGTAATAGCCTAATTCAAGATTATTGCCCATCCACAGCAAACTCTTTTTCCCCGGACACTTTGGAGCAAGAAGCATCGGAACGGCTGGAAGGCCTCGCGCATCCGTCCTTTTTATTCACGGCCCCCAAACAGTGAGCCTTGTTTTGTTCGTCCCTTACACCATTGTGTCAAATACAGTGACGCCGAAAGATATGTGGTTCCCAAGAAGGTGTCCCTTTGAAGCAACGCCCAAACAAGAAACGTCCCTTTCCAAGAGTGGAGCAGCCAAACATGAGGAATGTAGCATCAGATTGCCAAACTCCAGTCTGTTGCTTTCTTGCAAGGTAGAACATATCCCAGCCCGGGTCCAATCCAATGATTGTTGAGGGTCTTCAGAAAACCGACCCCTCATCGAAAGAGCAGGGGCCTAATCGGTACCCAAGGACGCACATGGTCCATTCTAGGACTGTTCTGCAATATACACCCGGCCACATTGGCATTTGGAGTAGCATAGGAAAAAGGAGGTGCGTGGGAGGATGGGTGCTCCCTCCAAAAGTCAGTCCTTTTTTGGGCTGTAGCCTCGAAGAAGTGGTACTTTTGTCCCCCCCCCCCAACAAAAAGAACAGCAGCAAATTTGGAGGTGTTCCAGGCAAACGGGG